AAGTGTTGGTTTTCTCTGTGACCTTTACACGAAGAGGTTGGGCTTTCTCCGTTTGCAACCTTCTGAGTTGTTTTCCACCTAATTCCCCGGGGAACACTGTCCTGAAGGTTCTGGAAGTTTACAAGGAGACGGTAACTCCCGGTCCACCCGGGGAACAAAAGATAAGTCGCTAAATTTTGAAAACTTTAACCCCGGGAAGAAAAGTGGACGAGTCATGAGACGATAAGTAACGTACCGCCTGGGTTGCCCATCCACTAGAGACAACAAAGGTAGGTTGGCCCACGAGGGGTCCATCAGGTGGCCTCGAGGAAAACACGTCAAACAAGAAAAAAAAGAAGAAAAGGGTCTCAATTAACTCTTTCATGATTTTTGGAAAACAAAACATGTAAGGGATAAAAGATACGGTTAAAATTATTTTTGTTAAGGGTCATTAAATGGTTTCACCGATTCTAATGTATCCATGACCAAACGCGTCACAATGGATAAACTCTTCTACTCTCTACCTTCAAGTGTAACAATGTAACGCGTCCGCTACCTCTTCTTCGGCATTTTTTTACGCTCACTAAAACTCAAGGTCCGAAATACACCGGTTTGTCACCAATATTCTTACTTGCTTAGACATGGCTCGCACATATCTCGAACTTTTCATCGGAAAACACTCAACAGCTCACAATAACCCGGATAGTAGTAAAAATCGCAATGGGGGTTACGTTCACGTCCAGCTTACCTGGGTTCGTAAAAGTCCCCGGGCCTGGGCGGAAACTCCCCCTTGTCGGCACTGTTTGCAACTGCGCAACAGACGAACACTAAACCGTCCGCGTGAACAAAGCCACAAGAAAAAAAGGGGGAATTCCGGGGTCTCAAACTCCGTACGACGTCGGGGACCGACCCTTAAGGGTCCCAAATACAACAGGAAGACGCCTCAATACGAACAGACATTCCCGTAAAACGACACCATCTCGGGGCTGAGCGAGCAGTGACTTACAGCCTCTCTGAAAAAGCACTCCGAAAGGCTACAATGCCGATCCCCCCGTATCTAGCCCACCGTTCAGTACCACATTCCTTGGCTCTAGTAAAAAGTCCCTATCAAGGTACGAAGCTCGTACTATCTTCGCACGTAGCGGCGCTCTCTTCAAAACAGAATGGTCCTCCACGCATGCACCCCAGATCGCACTAGTCACAAAGGACGCACAGAAAAGGTGACACCGCCCCGTAGTCACTCAGACATCGCCGTTATCTCACCATCCGCGAACGCAATATCAAACGAGGCGCACAACCTGACAAAAACGCGTTCGACGTTCTCGTGCTGACCTACCTAACACACACAACAACTCACAATCGGCCCCGCTGCACAGCACACACCGAATACGAGCACAACCCACGATCGAACTCCGGGCGTCAGCGTGTGACGAGACACACAATCTCACACCCACCACAAGCCACTCACTTCTCCAACTCAGCATAAGGGGCAGGACCGACCACAATGATGGTGGCCGTCACGCGCCGAAGCAGACGAGCGAACCAGGCGACAAACGGCACATTTCGGCTGGGTCTACCAGGTGTGTCGACTGCACCTACACTGCTCGAGAAAAGACGTCGATACTGCAAGCGAGACAGCGGAACGCCCGCCACTTCCATTACACAGAGTGAAAGTGCAGGCAGCAACACGCGAGCTAAAACTCGTCTCGAACGAGACACCAAGTAGGGGCAAAGCCAGGCAGACAGCAGTCAAAGTGAGACAGGCTGCGCACGGCACGCCGCACACGGAGCCCGACGCTCTCGACTATCGACCCACAACGCGGACTCCCGCGCGATGAAAAAATAAGTTCTATGCCAGCTCATCAGCCATCCAGGGCTCTCGCCACTCATCAGCGCTCAGCTCAGCTTCCACACCATAGCGGCTAGCGGATTGGCCCTAGCTTAATAGCGGGTCGGATTCACCATCGGTGGCTTAACGGGAGACAACGAGAGTCGCTGTCTACGGTACGAACGGTGTTTAACGGAGTCCAGTGCACTCGCGCTTGTATCACTATTAAAGTCCTGCACACACGCGCTCGCACGTCACAAGGAAGACCGAGCCCCTCTCTTCTGGTTCTCCTTTCTACTTTAAAGCGACTATTGGACGGCGCCTTAGACAGCGGAGCGGCTCAGTGCCTTAAGAACCGCACGCACGCACGCAACACTCCCCAATTTAATCATAACCAAAGTTGCGTCAGGTGTAATTTTGTCCATGATTTAGTCGCATGAAGTGATTTCTGGTCAGCACTCTATATGTCTTTCTGTCTTTTATCGCGTCGCGCTTCTCTCAACCCTCTTTCTCGCTTATCTGTAAACTAGAAGGTCTATCTTGACCTCAACTCGTACGTACCCACAGTAAGGTTGTCACAGTCGACTTCTCTTATAATCTCTCGACTCTCTGACTAAGTTTCGCGCCTTCTCCTCCGTACCTTTCAGCGCTACGTCTTTTCACTTCGTGACACTCTTCTTTCCTCCTCCCAGCCGTAGTGAGGGACAAGACTTGCAGAAGACTGACCCAAGGCAGTGATCTGTGAATTCTTTCACCTAGTGCTAAGTGAGCGACAAGACTTCCACAACATCTTTGACGAAGGCGCACTCCAACAGTTTCTTATGCTAAACGTCCTTATCGACGACGACTGAAATATTCTCTTCCCGACTTCACCCAAATCGGGCTTTTATGTAAATGACCTGCGAGACCGATGCCTTACACTACCTTCGTCGGCTTCACGCGAGTCCCCCAGTAAGCGTCCTGCCCAGTCGAAACGACAGGGGTCAGCTCCTACTTGATTTGTACCCTTGTGCGAAGATAATACAGAGTTCTTTCTATGCCTGTTTGAGGGTCATTTGGAGTACAGGCGACTTCTTCGACAAACTGCAAGCAAACAATCTATAAGAGATCCAGACATACCATAGAACACCGCCCGAAAATTACTTGATAATTAATAGACATCGACGTGCAACTAAAACCATAGGTACATAAAAAAAGAATACAATAAATATCGAAAAGAAAATACTACTCACTACAAATTCTACGGTAAAAGAATGTACGAAAAGTAAAAAAACATTTCGGTGAAACTTCAACGGACACACAACTTTTCAACGATATATTATTTGAACGGAACGGATTATTTCTAAAATACACTTAGTAATGTCAACTAAACAACTACCTCTAATTACACTTATTTAGATTGAGATCCAATGGCCATGAGAACGCATAGTGATGAGTGGCTTCATATCTTAGACTCCACTGTAACTTTTATCCATGTATTTTTTCTTTTAATGTTTATTTTATTAGCTTTTCTTGTTAATGACTGATTTTAAATGCCATTTTCTTAATAGCTTTCATTTTTTGTAAAGCACTTTGAATTGCCTTGTGTTGAAAAGTGCTATATAAATAAACTTGCCTTGCCTTGCCTAATAAAGATTTCATGTGACACATACAATTGATTTGTTGATGGGAATTAATGTGAATAAATTAACTCTAGGTTAACGGTACTCTTGCTATCACTACTCACCGACACTATAAACCTTATCCCTCATGCTAGCCCTGACAACACCGGTAAGCACACCTTCATCTAGGCTGCACTGTAACGTGTCCTGACTTGTAGTGGTTCTCTCCTCTATCTACACTCTTCTTGTCATCTTTGTAAAACGATATCAGACTGGTAATTGACACAGCCATGACTTCTAGTTAAATTCAGTGTGGCTAAAATGAAAAGCTTTGTTAAAATATGCAAGCACGCGAAAGTCAAATTCAGCTTTATTGTCAAAAATTCTACATGAGTTATACATCCAGAAATATCGAAATATCGTTTCCCACAGTGTGACATGTATACATAAAACAAAACAAAAAGGGCCTAGACAAACGTGGTATACATTAAACAAAACAAAAAGGGCCTAGATAACCGGGGTATACAGTTTAAAATGTTAATATATTTTATTTAAAGTGTTCAAAGTGCAGTTTCAGTGCAAGTCAGTTGAAACGATCTTAAGTTGGCGTGACGTTGAAGTCGTGCGACCCTGCTGCTGTACTGGCTTGTAGTTCGTTTATAGCATAACGTTAGCATTTAGCGACTAGATTTATGATTCAGAAATTATAAAAGTAGGGTTGACATGTGGAGATTATCCGGCTGAACAAAACGTGATCCCTCTCTTAAATGTGTGTCAACCACAGACCTTATTTCGAGCTATTTTCCAAAATCCTATGGAGAATTTGCATTGGTTTTTCAAGAAGGAACCGGAAGAAGTTTACTTCCGGGTTTTACGACGCGTCACTACGGTTCTCTATTACAGGACCCGGATAAAGATTTCATATGAAGCCAATTTAATAACTCATGTGAAGTCAATTAGCTTGAAATATATGTTTTTGTGTGATTATTTCAAAGTCATTCATAGACAACAATAATGAATTCTGAAGGGAATTGCACATAATCGCATGATAAGCAGTTTCCGTTGTTGTAACAGACATGTGTACATAAAGACAAGATACTCCCTCTAGGGGGGAACGTTGGGATTTTAGTCTCTGCTGATGCAGATTTCAATTTTTTATCAAATAACTTCACGTTCCTCTATTATACAACCATTAGGTTCCTATATGTTCCCATCAGCAAATCAAGTACGCCTAACACTGACCTTTGTGCACTTTTTAAACTCCAGTCAGCTGTTTTTTATTTCTGCTGCCCAGCACAGCACTCCCTTCAACCCTCGACATCAGTAAACCTGAAATCAGATGATGACAGCTCTGGGGAATGAATTTAGCCCGACACTGAGTCCACACCAAAGTCTGATTCATGTTTACCTTGAACTGCTAAACTAGTGTTGGACCACTTTGACAAAAGTTCAAAGACCTTAAAAGACTTTGATTATAGTTCAATAAACTTCAGACGGAAGCAAGCAGCTCATCTGGTAAAGATTAGAGAAAGAAAAATTGTCTCACCTTGGCCTCGAACTTCTTCTAACACCTTTTCATTTCCTTCTAACAGACAGTAATTTCCTGTTGGGTAACGCCCAGGGTCACCGCGGCTACCCCATCGTTTACTGCTCGGACGGCTTCTGTGAACTGACGGGCTTCACCAGAACTGAGGTGATGCAGAAGAACTGCAGCTGCCGCTTCCTGTACGGCATGGACACCTGCGAGCACGTGGCCCAGCAGATGGAGAAGGCTCTGGAGGGCCGAGAGGAGTACCAGGCCGAGGTCCACTTCTACAAGAAAAATGGTGGGTGCACGGCAAAGAAGATAGGGAGGAGAGAGCCCTAAATGTGTTGGCATAATCTTCATTTTCTTCAAAGATTGTTTGGCAATTAACATTCCTTTCATCCTGTGTTAAGTTGATTTGAACTGGATTCTGCTCTTTCTGATTCTGCTGTATCAGTTCATTGTGTGATTTATTTTGTATTCATCTCTATGGAGAGCACATTTATTTTTAGATTTAACATTTTGGTTTTATTATGATTCCCGACAGTGATCCTGAATTTGAAATAAAGCATGTCAGCACTGGAATACGTTTTGCACTTGGTGCTCATTAGTATTAAAATAAAACCATAAGGTCAAGTGAAAATCTGCAGTCCGCTTTTCTTATCCCTTCACATGAGGGCAAACGGTCTGAAGGACTGAACTTGTGTGCCGGAACAAAACTCTTAAAGTCAGTCTTGAATACATTATTCATTATTAACATGTGTTTATTGATCTAATTTGTTTACACAAGAACTGTCCTAGATTCAAACATATGGCATCATATAAGGTACTAAAAGGTGAGATAATAATACAAAATAAAGTAAATACAAATCTAAAAGTGATTAACAGTTGAAACTTTGCTGTCAACAAGTACACATCAAAAAATACAGTCACATATAGGATTGAGCATGGGACACATTCATGAAAATAATATATGTTATATATTTCATTCACCATAGCACACACTTCTAATGCATCCTTAATATCACCATTTTGGGCAAATCGTGACGATTTAGGACATTTACAAGTGCCTGAACTTGTTTTTAAATGTTCTACACATTTGTCAATAGAGAGGCACACTTCCAGCAGATCTCAATCCAGTACCTCGCCCCAGTCATCGTTTTGTAGTGTAGAAAATACAAGGTATTGTACATACTGTATGTGTTTGTTTACCACTGTAGTTTAAATCCATTTCTTCTTAATCCTTCTGACAACCTGTATCAGACTCAAAATACGATGGCATGCATTTCAAAAGAACATACAACACAGTTTAATCCTCTCTGATCGGTACACAGGATTCTCTTTCCAGACCTGCTGCCTCGACGTGTGAGAACCGCTAATTATGCTGATGGATTACCAAATCTGCTCCTTAGTGAAAATAGCTTTTTCTTTTCATTTTCTTCTTCTTTCACAGTACAGTAATGCAGTTACAGTAAGGAAGTGACAGTATAACTAATGAGGGGAAAGACACAATCATTTATTATATGCCCAAATAAAAAACATAATGCAGTTAAGACACAACACCATTTCCATTCTCATGCATTTCAATTTCTTCAGTACCGTATTACAAATAACCAGTAACCAAAGCTGTCATTACAAAGCATTTGATTTCCCTCTATGGAAGAGTAGAAGTAGAAAATGGTCGTTAAAAGAAGATACTTGAGTAAACTAAAAGTACCTCAAATGTGTACAATACTTTAGTGAATGTACTTTTAGCACCTAATGCTTGCAAGCACAAAGCACACACAAATAGCTTTTCTCATGTTGTACAGTGTAGTTACACCCACAGCCTTGAGCCAAGACACAACATAACTATTGTCTTCCTTGGCGCCACACACACACACACACACACACACACACACACACACACACACACACACACACACACACACACACACACACACACACACACACACAGGGGACAAGAGATGCGGAGCAGCGATTCTGCAGAGTAGCTAATGAGCGTTCTGGGTTACGACGAGGTCTTACATCTATGGCGCTCCTTCCCTGCCTGACTTGTTAAAACCAACCCTGTGACTTGCTCTTTCTCTCTGTGCACACTCCTCCTGAACATGATCCATATCTAATTGGAGGTATATTTTTAGAAAGGCTATACGTGACAAATATGTTGAGAGCTGGCATGATGACATGGGATATCACAGTGCTTGGAGCCATCACTGAAGTCATTAAGAGATCTATAACATTACACTGCATGTTGACGATTTTCCTTCATTCAATAAATAGAGATTTCTGATTTTGTTCCAGGTGTGGCCTTCTGGTGTCTGCTTGACATCGTGCCCATAAAGAACGAAAAGGGCGAAATGGTTCTCTTCCTCTTCTCATTCAAGGACATCACCGACACCTATGGAAGGGCCCACCACAACAGCAAGAAGGAAGGTAGGCTACAGGGTTTCTTAGAAAATAAAAGTATTTGCTTACTTGGAGCATGATTTACGAGCAGGTCATCCTCTGGTTCCCAGCTTTCCGTTTCTACCTGTGCTCTTGTTCATCACTGTCACATTCTGCCCAGCAGTTTGTGGTTGTGTTGGAATCCGTTCACCGAACTCAGACAATGTTTTCGCAATGGTAGTTTGATTCGGGCGTCGATCTCCTCGAGTGGAACCTGGACACAGTCTGTTGCAAAAATCAAGCAGTATGCCGGGGGAAATCATTGTGAGAAAATGAAATCGAAAGGAAAGTCAAGCACCTACTAGTTGGAGGTGTTTTTGTGTCTTACTTGGGGAACTGCAACAGGGAGGAATATTCAGCATTAAAAAAAGAAATGTAATTACTTTATGTTGACGAATATTCCTCAGGTGTTATTTGTCTTACTTACTGAAATGCCCTGATCTTTTCTTATTCTTTATCATCTTTAAAAGGATATATGAAACTTAAAAAAAACTGAAAATACTGCCCCTTTAACAATGAGAATCACAGTTGAAAAGTAGAACAAATTTAAAAATGGAACTATATCAATTCAATTAAAAATAAGAAACAAAGAAAGATATTTAAAGAAAAAAAAAGGAAAAGGTGTCAGTCAGAGGAGAGAGATTGGGGAGGGTTGAAAAAAGATTCAAATAGAATAATTAATTTGAGCTTGCGCTGATCTGAGCAACTTTGTGACAGTTTCAGAGGACAAGAGGAGGAGGAAGAGCAGCTCTCACTTCAGGGAGGCCAGGAAGCGTGGACGCACCGTGCTGTACCATCTGACCAGCCAGTTCTGCAGGGGAAGAAAAAGGGATGTCAACCTTGGGGATGTAAGTACTTTTACTACTCTCAAATACTGCTGATTGGCTGCGACGGTATATTTGTGTGTGACACATGCCCTCTGGGATACCATGAAATGCACAACCCTAAATCTTGAAGTAAAATTAAAAATGTTAATATTTAAGAGATGAGATCTAGGAAGGAAATATAAAATGTCTTGATCCAGATTCCCATCATCATCATCATTTTTGGGGGGAATTTCAACACCTCAAATTAGGAGCTGCATGATGAATGTCATATTGTCACCACCATGTTCCATTAAATTACATTTGCTGTTATGTCAAAATTAGGCCGCTGTATCTTCACATTATACAGTATATGTATTTAAGTAAGTTGTTGTTTATGGATACAATGGACTCTTTCCTTATAGCTTTCAATCATATTCAGACAAGTGTGCTGTTTTGTGTTTCAAGTGCGTTTGTGTTTCAAGTACCTCAAGGGGCCATGTTGAGGTGAAATAGACCCTAGCTATCATCGGTTTCATTCCCACTTGTTATTTCTACAGAACAAAGGCCTTCATAGGCTGTGAATAATACAGTTGCACTCCAGGAAAATGTTATTCATGAGACCGAGCTCCTGGTTTGCTCTCAGATACCATACAGGAAAAGTTGTTTCAGGTAGAAAGAAAAAGGAGGTACTTCATATCTAACTTGGGAACATTTATGTTAGAATATCTACCATATTTTCCTGTTATTACAAGACACCACATTTAACTGTAGCTATCGTGCTGACATGGTAAGTTGCTGCTTTCTCTCAGTTTTAAATGGTTGTTAAAAGAAGAATTTGTGTTTTTGAATGTGTGTAAGACAAATAAACAAGCTATTTAAAAAGGTCATGTAAGGCTGATGTCCATTTTTTTTTTACTGTTGTGTGACATTTTATAGACCAAATGATTAAACGTTTACCGAAAAAAATATCAATTCAGATTTTTAAAAAAGCACCCAAATTAGAAAGTTTCTGTAAAGGCAGTGATAAAGGCCCTCACATGAACCTGACCCGCATCCTGTTCACGAAACAAAAGCTCTGCTGCTGCTCTCTTTACCGACCTGCAGGTGTCTTCATGGAAATCAACGTGCTAAACCTCCACTCAGTTTGCCAGACCTCCTGCTGACTCGCTTCCATTCTTACCTTTTTACAGATGGCACAGTTCACTGATATCATGCACACACCTGTTCTAATAGTCCAATCTCATGCACCAGAAAAAATGAACACATAAAACCCTCAACAATCAGCGATAATGTGTTCTACCACTAGGTACATTAACATTTTAAAGTTTTTAGTCATCCACACAGATGTTATATGTGAATTCTCTTAAGAGGCCAAAAAAATCAGTATTTTACATAAAAATCAAATTGTAGGTAGGAGAAAATGAGCACAGTAAGCACATCATGAACCATATTCAGCATTTTAGTTTGAACATACCTTTTTTCTTTTAACTCATAAAAAATGTTCAATTCCATGCTGAAGAAAATAGCCAGCGCCTAATTCATTTCTATCCCTAGGGAGGGACTGAAAGTAACATACAGACTAGTTAGACTATGAGTAGTTCATAAAAAGCCCGTGATGATGGTGCATATTATAAATGCAGGCAAACTGTGTGTTTTTGGATACAAAACAAAAACATCTACTGGTTAGAATACAAATTAAATCTATTTCTGTAAGGAGTTGTTTTGTTTTTCTGGGTATTTGACAGCTCATTGCACTGTGTCTTGTATCAGGGATCTTGGAAAATATTTGTTCAGACCTGCCAACAGTGTTAAACAGATACAATGCATCTTGAATGAGAATGAAACTCAAAGCAATAATGACATGCAATAGACTCAAACTCCAGACTCCCACTTTGTATTACTCACAATTTGACTGGATTGTCTCTTCATGCACCCCTCCGATGTTACTGTTCAATTCATAAAATTGCCTACTCATAAAGCATAATATCATAATATCAATTCTGAATGAAGTTTCTGATGAATGTCGAAAATGTTAGGAAAGCATGAATGCCCTAAAACATATTATTTTTTTCCCTTATGGCACTTATCTTCATATTAAAATGCACCATCATAAAAGTCTTAAATAATATAATTGTATAGCCTACCAATCATATCTGGAAATCGCAATGTTGTACAATTTAGGACTACAGGAATAATTTATAAAGCAATACATAATATTCTTCACAGCAACATTGCAACCATGTTCTCATCTTTATTTCAATTTGTGTGGTAAATGTTTGCAATGATTTGGCTATAGAACTCAAAGCAAACTAAATAAATCAGGATTTAGAGATTAATAAACACTATGAATTAAAGTGACAAGCAGGTTTTAGGTGATTGTAGCCGAGCCTTCAATATCTGATCAACACAGTGTGGATATTTGTATTGTATAATAGAAAACTGTATTTTTGGGGGAATTTATGTATAAAAACGATATATTTAGTTTTGCACTTGAGTTATGGAGAATGAGAAATAAATATGCAGAGGTGGGAAACTAAATACATTTACTCAGTTCTAGTGGTGCAGTGACGCATCCTAAAACCCTTTTATAATCTATCGATTATATTTATGATTCGAACATTATAAAAGTAGGGTAGACATGTGGAGATTATCTGGCTGAACAAAACGTGTCGAGGGAACCAGCAGCTTACTTCCTGGTTTTAGGACGTGTCACTGGCTGCACCTCTCAATATGCCAATATAAACAAGGTCTTCTGTCGGCTCTGTACACCAATGCCGACCTATGCTGACAAGTAAGTGAAGAGTAGACAATATAAAGGTATTGGCGAAATGTCCCAGCAGTTTAGGATAATGAAGGTTCTAATCAAATCAATTACATAGCCATTACATGTCTAACTCCTAATGACAGGAAGGCAGAAAGTGCATTATACAAATAGGCCTAATAATACTCATAATAATAGCAGACATTTTTTAACAATGACCACAATATCATTATTTTAATGAACCAAATATGAACAATTGAGGAAAATGAGGAAGAACTGATGATTCAAATGTTGTAGTAAAAGTAGTAATGTAGTGCATAAATTACAATTACAACAAATGTGTTAATTTTATTCATTATTAGTCGATTTTTTTTTTTTGGACGAATGCTCCGGGCCAGTGGTTACAATGGTGGGGCCAGTGATAATACAAGTCCACCGGCCCGGAGGGCCAGTGGCATTTTACCCTTAATGTCTACCTCTGCGGTAAGTCACTATGACCCCCGTCGACAATTTACTAGCGGTATTTACTTGTGGTACCGCGGTGGGCCGGCGGTACCGAAGTGGGCCGGTCGAGAGTCCCGGGCTGATTTGTAGTCCCAGTCCGCCCCTGGCTACTACTTACATTTTACATATTTTCTACCGTTTGAGTGGTAAAATACACTGTGGGTAACCATGGAAACGGCACTTAAGTTTAACGTAGCAAGCAGCAAGTTTAGCTAACAACCGGTTTGGAAAAAACTAGCTTTATAATAACGCATAATTGAACTAAAAATACTAAGAAAAGATAAACAAACCTGGAACAAACATGGATTATTATCAGAATTTGGTTAAGGTGAGTAGTTAATAGCCTACTACTTTCTCAATAATAACTGACAAACACATCCCAGGGTCTATTTGTTTGGTTTATGTGTCAAATAATCGGCATTCATAGAGTTATTTATATTTGGTAATCGAGTTAGTCTTAGTTGTTTTCTGAGTCTCTACCTCTCATCGTTCTTTACTACCCTACAGAGGTGGAAAAAGTATCAGAGTGTAGGAATACCCAGTTGCAGTAAAAGTCCTAATATCACAATGTTAGACATAAAAGTGTTAGCATTAAAATATACTTTAAGTACCAAAAGTAAAAGTACTCATTATGCAGATTAGCCCATATTAGATTAATATTGTTAATGTTTTATTATAAATATTGATGCATTAGACTCTAATGGATCAATACTTTCTCAATGGGAGAAGTGACATTTTTAGTTTTGAACAAGAGCAGTGATTTTTGGCTCGTGAAGAGTGCTGTCAGTCAGGGAGCGGCGAGTGCTACTTTTTATTGAGTTCATGTGTGAAAAGCTTGATTCACATACATGTTGATCCAAACATACTGAGCACACAGATCGCTACTTTCTGAACGTTAGGGAACTGCTGTTTGTTAACGTCACTCCAAAACTTCGCTAGCCCGTTACTGCGCTGCTCTTGTGCCATGGTTACGGATGACTGCATGTCAATAAGTTCCAGTGTACATTTCCCCTCGTCGATGGAGGGGACCACCTCCTTTGCTTTGGTGGGTACGGTCCCCCTCTATTGCGACAGTGAAGGGGTCTCTGGTAAAGCCCATCACGGTCCAATCGACCGGCAAAGTTCTCTTTCAACCTCGAAATGAAATCTGTCATCACATCCGTGATTTGTGCCGGGGATGTTAATGTGTTTGTGGAGCGTCGGAAAATGCAGCATCCGACCCGTGCTCAAGTCGGTCGCGAAAAGGTCCAGCTTGAATTGGAATGCGCGCATCTGCTCCACAAGATCAATGACCGTTGTGTCTCTAGTCTGTTTACCTTCAGAGTTGAGAGAGACATGTTTTAGAGTTGCTATCATAGGACCACCGTTACTAGCACCACTTGATGCACTTTCAAAAAACGCACTGCGTAGTGCTTTGGTGGTTTCTAGGCAACGCGGAGTGTCGCGTTCATAGTGTGTACTAGTGTAGGAATTAAGTAACAAAATATTGAAGTTCTCAAGTGAAGTACAAGTAGCCTACATCTAAATTGTAGTTACAGTAAGTACAGTACTTGAGTATGTCTACTTATTTACTACCACTGGTGCCCTAGGTTCCCCCTGCATTTAGCTTTCTTTGTATTTGTTGCTTTCGCACATTTTCTCTCCCTCTCCATCTGTCACTCTAACGTCATCTCATTTCGGCTTCATCCCTCTGGATTGTCTGTCAGTCACTCTGTGAAGCCACCAATTTTCCTCTGCTTCTGAATTACCCCTCCCTTTTGCTCTTGCTTTCCCACTACAGCTCAAATATTGAAGTGCTGCCTCTCCACTCGGAATTTGAAAATTGGTTGCTTGTCCTCAACAGGAACACTTTCATTGTCCACACTTGATTACAATCTAAATACTGTTCAATTTTTATATATAAAATACATAAAACATTTTAAAATATGATACTCAAAAAGTAAATGACCTGGCAACTATACAATATTGAACATAATGCTTTCACAATATTTGGGTTTTAAAAGTTCATAGACTCTGTTCTCTCTTTTGTAAGGGGACCTTGACTGAAAAAAAAATCCTGTTTAGGAAATATAGCATGAAGAAAATAACGCTGACACTGACATTTCTTCTGCAAAATCAGTGTTTCTGGATATTCAGGGCATTCATTTGATATAGAGTTTTGCTTTGTTAAGTTAAGCACGGGTCAAACATACTTACTCCACCACTGCCTTCTATGCATATATTTTTCCCATTCTTTTTTACTCTTTCTTACTCTGTCTCTCCCTCTATATTTTTCTGACTTTGTCCATCTTTCTGTGTCTTTCTGTCTGCCTCTCAGTAGAAGTTAGCTATCTTCCTCTGCCTCCACAGCACGGCCAGTCACATCTCCTCTGATCTCTATTTGTAGCCTATCATCCCAGGCATGGAAGAAAAGGGGGGTGCTATACTATTTCCTTCCTGTAAAACACATGCATCTTCAGATTAAAGCCTTAAAGACAAAGGTGGCAAGTGACTGCTTAAAGTATCTAAAGTACTGAGATAAAAATACTCAAATGTAAATCCGTAAACTGATTTCAAAAGTACATTTTGTGTACCACATTTTCAAAATATAGAAGAAAGCAAAATCATTCATTGGACCGTATACCACACACTGCGTTGCCTCTTCAAAACATGTTCAGCTTGAGCTTTTCTTTGCCTGAAGACAAACACTGAGTTGTTGTTGTGTCTGTTCTGGCCGTTATGATGCTGTCAACCCATGAGTGTATCAGGTACCGTACTACAGTATAACCAGGCACGCTGTTCATTTTAGGCACTTCCCAGGGGAGAGCCACAATTCTTTTCACTTTAATGCACTTGTCAAAAACGTCTAATCTGGAGGCATTTTAAAGGTTTGATTCAAATACTTATTTGGTTGACTGTGAAATACAGAGCTCACATTCACATCTTACTTTCCCTCAGTTCATATGTTTTTCTTCTTTTTATTTTTGCCCTCTAAACACTCACACACTCACACACACTTTCAGAGAGCAAATGTGTATCCTTAGTTGCTTGCTGTTAGGCAATTTATTGATTGTTGAAACGGCAGATCTTAATGCCAAGAGTAGTAGACCAGTGATTCTAAAATCAAATAATAAGTACCGAGCAAAGCAAGGAGTCAATTGAGAGAGGTTGACTGCAGTTTTTATTGTTCTGCACTTCCGCTGCATTGTTTGAAAGTTATTATTTTGTGGTATAAAAATATTGGCTGAGCATCCTCTGCAATAGATTCTTGCTTGAGGGAGTGCTTGAGACACATGGTATCAGTGCTGGAGCCCAGAGCATGCTGGGACTTGTAGTTGGAACAGTAAGCTCTTAGCCACATTGTGAGTTAATGAAGAGCAGACCAGCTGTGGCTGTGTGAGATGCATGTCCCCAAAGTGCTGGGCTTTTCTTTTTTAATCATTGGGACGTGACGCCCTTGGGTGCCGAAGGTCAGTTGGCTGCACTGACCTCTTGTGTTGTAAGGCAAATGAAAATAAACAGCTTTTGCTGACACAGTTAGTCATCATATGCCACTGCTGTTGATGACAGGTCTCTGCTATTTTTCACTGGGAATACATTGAATGTCCCGTGTCAAGCAGCCACGATTAATACAGCTTTAAAAGTTAGCTGGGAACATCATTGAACTTTAAGATTTGGTTTAAATATCCCCCGGTATTTTTTTTCTAAGAATAACACAAGAAAAAGTTATACATCCTTCCCCAATAGAAAGGACGGCTACAGGGATGACGTACTTTTGTAGGCTAAACCGGCATTTAACCCATAGCATTGGTTACCTCAACAAAAATTACGACATAAATGCAATTAACTGAAGTAAAAAGCTACATTAGGCTATACACAAACTTCACACCATCACTTCTGTTCTTAGGTTATTAGGTGTAATTTCATTTAACACGATTATCTTTTCTACAAAAATATTTTCTCATACCATGATACATTAATTGATCTACAAGTAAGAAAGTTTTAGATGGAATAGTTTGCAAGAGTGCAAGTTCAAACACCACTGTAAAAGCAGACTTCTCATGAGGATGTTTAATTTCCCTGACCACCTTTGCAGTGTGATTAGGCCACATCTCATGAGAAACGCATGCAAAGAAAATGGTTGACTTTGAGAACATGGAGGGCAAAATTGTTAACTTATATTTCTGGTTTTAGGACTCATTCCTGCAGCACTCTGTTGCTATAAACTAGTCAGTCTATTCTCTCCAAGTTAGCTTCACAGCCCTTATAATGAAATCTCTTGTTGCGACTTTATTACCCAACCTCCTTGATGCTTGCCACCAACTGTTTCTGAAGGGGCCGCGGTGTTCTAGGATAGATTACTCATTTAACTCTCCTTTCTGTTCCCCTCTCACCACTGTCAAATCTAATAGCTTCTCCTCCTGTCTCCTAAACATAGTTAAGGCTATTATGTGCCGAGTGCAAGGCTCCATTTGGAGAACTGCGCTCTCATTATGCATCGAATGGATTCCCCACCTCATCAGCAAGAGCAATTCAAGCTTCCTGCAATTGGATTTTCTCAATAAAAAGTAAATGAGTGGAATGAATAAGCATGACTTTTCGAAATAAACGCTGCTGACGGCAATTGTACCGTACCGCTGGACACTTAAAGCACTGATGGCATTTGGAGGGACGAATTTAAGCCAAAGCCAAGTCATGTATGAGAGTATAAGGCGTCATTGTTGGTAATGAATTTCCCCCTCACTGACCACAGGCCTATATCTGCCATTTGGTGTTATTACTGCACAGCCATTTAAAAGGTTTATCACTGTCTATAAGGAGGCTGTCAATAATAGATAACCAAGCAGCATAGCCATTTCAGTTTCACTTGAGTTGCATACGGTATTAAATTATTAGCGGTCAGGGCACAATAGACAGCATTGACATTTATATCAACTGTTTCTGCTAAATGTTGGCGAGGCAATCTCAAATCTGAATAATATTTATTTACACAGCTCTGCCCATAACCATCTTTTCATTAAGTGATGCAGCTTCTCCAATGTGTTGCAGGTGTTTTTTGTATATATATCAACATAAGCTTGAAATATAAGAGGCTATTTGTTGTGTTTATCTTAATGACTGTGTATGTATTCTTACCAAGGTATTTTCTCACTTCTTTTACAGAGCATGATTGAAAAGCCTTCAATACCGGAGTATAAAGTAGCGGCCGTGAAGAAGTCACGCTTCATTCTGCTCCACTACAGCGTGTCCAAGGCGCTGTGGGACTGGCTCATTCTGCTGGCCACCTTCTATGTGGCTGTCACCGTGCCCTACAACGTCAGCTTCACACCGTACGATGACACCGTCACAGACGGGCGCTCCACCATCCCCAGTGACATTGTAGTGGAAATGCTCTTTATGATAGGTTAGTGATGAAAAGAAGACACGGCTCCATGATGTTTACCTGAAGTCATTGCTCTGTGGATCAACCTATTGCTATTGTAGATTACAAATTGTGGTTTAAACACCATCAAGCCAATTTCATCCATACATCTTGATGGTCAAATCAATGCATGTGGAACTATACTTGATACGAAGAATCACAAGAGCATTCTGGTGCTTTTCAAAAACATATATGATGACATGACATTTTCATTAGGTATCTGTCCATTTTCTTTTCTCTCTTAACGCTTATGACAACAGGGTATCCAAGAGCCACAGAGGCATCCTTTTCCCCTGAAAGTACCCCATGTCCAAGTTCTAATCAACCTGGTTGTGTATTCCCTTAGGAATTTCCTTCCACTCTCCGAGGAATTCCTAGTTTGTAATGCCTTTTATTGTCCAAAGGGATGCACCCAAGAATTCAGGTGGCTGAACCTCAACATGTTCCCTTTAGTGTATGAGAAAATGTCCAAGTCTCTCAGCATGGCACGAGGAGAGACGCCATCAGCCAAGCTAGGGAGGGACTTTTTTCAACTTTGTTTCTGCAAGCTCAATATATTATATCACTTTCCAGACTTTTATTCTATTGGAATTTGACTTCCAAAGACATGTCATTGATAGATCGCATGTAAAAGAAGCCCCAAATAGCACACAAAAAGCATGCTAGCCAAAAGGATTCAGGGAAATTTGAATTTGAAATGAAACATTTTGGCATAAACATCCTACCTTCTTGTAGATTTTCATAACTGAGAGGTGAATTGAGTGATGAGCCAACTTCTCCGCAAACATGCACAGCTTGCATCACAGATGAGTTTTCCTACATCAGACCACAAAGCCAGAGGTCTGCTTGTTATGTGCTTATCGCCACATTCTGACACTAAGATGAAGATGACCTGTCTCTCCGTGATTTGTATGTTCATATTCAAGCTGTTCTATATTTGCGTGCATATTCCTCTCATCTCGGGAGGCGTGTGGCGCAGTGGGCTAGTGTGTTGGTGTTCGGATCAGGGGAGCACAGGTTCAAACCCCACTGCAGTTAGCATGTCGTTGTGTCCCTGGGTAAGACACTTCACCCCAAAATTGCTCCTGTGGGGATTGCCCACAGTTTTGAGTATGTAAATCGCTTTGGATAAAAGCGTCTAACATGTAATCTCAAATCATTTATTGTTGTCATTATAACAAACCTTTTCTCACTGTTAACAATCAGTCAGTCAAACACACACTTTTTACATTCCAGTTGGACGAATGTCTATACCATCTTTTAATCGCTGGGGAAACAAAATAACCTTTTTGTTTTATTTGCAGACATTATCCTGAACTTCCGCACCACCTATGTGAGCCAGTCAGGGCAGGTGGTGGTTGAGGCGCGCTCCATTTGGATCCATTACGCCACCAGCTGGTTCTTTGTGGACCTGTTGGCTGCCCTGCCCTTTGACCTGCTGTATGCCTTTAACATCACCGTGGTGAATGCACTCTCCCTAAATAGCACATTTTATACAAGATAAGCACATTTGTTTGAGCAAAGCAAATCACTGCTTACCCAAGCTGTGCTATTCAGCTGTGTTTTTGTAGTCAAAGTGTGTTTCCAGCTATAACATGGCACATGGGTTCACTTCCTCTTTCCTTTTCTCCCTCACAATATCCCCCACTTCTCCTCTTTAGACCTCCCTTGTCCACCTGCTTAAAACAGTTCGCCTGCTACGCCTGCTCCGTCTGCTTCAGAAGCTCGACCGCTACTCCCAGTACAGCGCCATGGTGCTGACCCTACTCATGTCTGTGTTTGCCCTGCTGGCACACTGGATGGCCTGCATCTGGTACATGATTGGACGCTGGGAAATAGCGACCAATGATACCAGGGAAATAGGTGAGTCTGATTGGGGCCTTGCTGCTGTATGAAGGTCAGGTTGGGGGTTTTATGCAGCAAAGGTGGGGGAATCATGCATTGTTTCTCGGTAAAGGATACATTTAGAAATTGTTTCACATTCTTTTTACCATGTGCCATCATGTATTCATTGTCCTCGCTGCGCTTTCTGCTCTGATTTTTTTGACTTTTTTTGGTTAGTCAGTTAAATTCTCTGTATAAAAGGAAAAATCCAATAATTAAGAAAATAGATTAGATTTAGTTGTAGTCCCAAATGGTCCCCTTAACTGGTTGTGAAGTCCTGCTCAGTGGTGATATATTTGCGAATACCTGACTGACACTCTAATGAGGGCCGTGGGTACGCAGATCAAATCTTGATACAAAAAAGCAACTGGTAGACAAAAACCTAAAAACTTGACAGGTTTTTCTAGTCTAGGAATTATCTCTAGGATATCTGAACACTTCTCTGAACATATTATTATTTACATAATTGCTTGCATTAGTACAAAGCTTTTTTTTGTATGTCCAAATTGACTACAAACTTGTTTAATTCTACAGTTTAACCACCATTTATTATTTTTAAACGAACATAAACGGCAACACACATACTGTGACAGTCTACAGCAAAATAAAATACAAATAAATACGATTCAACATCAAGCCTAATTTGCCGTTTCCATTAGTGTCCCTATATGTGATTATCCATACATTTCTGGCAGTTTGTTCCATCTATACAGTAGCAGGGTTAGCGCACACCTGCTAACACTATGCCTTCTTAACCCTGCAAGACCTGGTCTAACTCGACCCTGTCCCTCAACAAAATGCCAGTTCCTGACACTGCAGACATCTCTTTCTGACACACAAACACACAAACCCAAACACACACTGCTGTCTGTCCAAGACCAGGTAATTCCGCACCATCCTGACACTACCATCTGTCTCAGAGCCGACAGGAGACACGCAGACACAATGCTAACATGAACCTTTTGACACTGTTCGCTCCTGCTCTGCCTTCTCCTTCAAGGGTGGCTTCATGAGCTGGGCAAACGGCTGGAGACGCCTTACATCAACAGCACGGTGGGCGGCCCGACAGTGCGCAGCTCCTACATCGCCGCCCTTTATTTCACCCTCAGCAGTCTGACCAGTGTGGGCTTCGGCAATGTCTGTGCCAACACCGATGCTGAGAAGATCTTCTCCATCTGCACCATGCTCATCGGCGGTATGTCTGACGCCACGGTTCATTGTCCCTCTGGTGTCCTGGCATATCAGTGCCTCTGTGTGGCACGCCAGCATTAGTGATTCAGCAGGAAGTGGGATGGAGGAATTGGCTGGCCTTTAAAACACAGCTTGTAGCCATCTTTATAAACCAATAAACAGATTATTTTAGCTGAGGTGGCAATTATTGGGGCAACAATCCGGAAGGTAATTATGCTTTGTTCACAGACTGCTTGTTAAAACAGAGATAAATGCAGCTATCAATTTCTGAGCTCCCCGTGGGAATCAAAAGACAAATAAACAGTAACAAGTGTGAGATTTGTTTTGTGATCAATAGAAATTGAGATTCATATTTTAAAGCAGGAAATGTAACCCTTGAAAATGTATAGAAACACATTTCAACCCATTAAAATTGTGTTAAAAGAACAGCTTTCAGAATAGAATTTAGATTGCCTATGAACAAATATCCAAACGTTATATCATTATCATTAAGGGCTTTAATACTTGTCTATTCTCTCCCTCACACAGCACTGATGCATGCCCTGGTTTTCGGTAACGTGACGGCCATCATCCAGCGCATGTACTCCCGGCGCTCTCTCTACCACACACGCATGAACGACCTGAAGGACTTCATCCGTGTCCACCGTTTGCCCCAGCAGATCAAGCAGCGCATGTTGGAGTACTTCCAGACCACGTGGTCGGTCAACAATGGTATAGATGTCAACATGGTAGGGGTCCCTTACATTGTTGTTGTCATCTAACACTTTAGGACATGGTGCTTTCTGCCCTTTTGAAACTCCGAGGCGATGTTTAGATAGTAATTGAGCACTGAAATCTGAAATCAGAACCCTTTGCACCTGCAATTATTCCTGATCTTTCCTAACACATGGCTGCCCAGCCCCATACACAACCAATTGACATCCTATTGAAATTCATAAGAGGGTAACTGGTGGCAACACAGTCCACTCCCTAATTACCAATGAGTGTCACACCTCATTACATCTGTCACACTTCCCCAGCTCCTGCATGACTTCCCTGATGAGCTGCGGGCCGACATCGCCATGCATCTGAATAAGGACATCCTCCAGCTGCCGGTCTTTCTGGGGGCCAGTCGTGGCTGCCTGCGCTCGCTCTCCCTCCATATAAAAACCTCCTTCTGCGTCCCTGGCGAGTACCTCATCCGTCACGGTGACGCGCTGCATGCCAACTACTTTGTCTGCTCCGGGTCCCTGGAGGTGCTGAAAGACCACATGGTGCTGGCGTTAATAGGTTCGTATTTGGGCTTTTTTGACATCATGTTTTTGTATAAAATCAGAATCGTGATAATGTATTTTTTTCTATTTCAGTAAAAGGGAACCTCTTTGGTTCTGACCTGCCTGGACCAGACCAGGTGATCAAGACCAACGCCGATGTGAAGGCGCTGACCTACTGCGACCTGCAGTATATCAACGTGCGTGGTCTGAGAGAGGTGCTGGAACTGTATCCGGAGTACGCCAGTGTGTTCGCATCCAACATCCACAACAACCTCACTTATAACCTTCGTGAGGGCAGCCAGGATGAGGTACTGAAAACAAACTCACACACAGATATCTGGTGTTGGTTAAAAGTAGTTGGGGTTCAAATTGGGGCAGAATTGTAAAGCTGTCACTGGCAAAGAACACAGTAGTTCAAGTATGCTTAACTCTGAGTATTCCGCACATGTTTAAGCACACAGAAAATGTAGATGAGAATAGCGGTAGTACTTGGGAAAGTCAGAAATTCAAAGTGTCTTTTAATGATATTGTGGTCAAGAAACTAGAAACTATTTGTTCAACTTCTACAATGGATGTCAGCCTGCATGACAGTTAAACATTGGTTCAAAAGAGTCAAAAATGTGCACTTTGATTCTAGAGTGCTAACACCAAAAGATCATGTTTGTGTGTAAGACAACTTTTTCTTGCTAAAAAAATTGGCCCAGACACAAACCTTTTCCCCCTACAATCGTCTGATAGAATAGAGCCCACAACACACAATACAACACATTTGTTCCCCCCCCCCCCCAAGGTGTGTTTTTCACTCTCCTTGACACTTGTTCTACCACAACAACCAAAGGGCTGTTGGTGGCTTGATTGTCAGACCAATTTCTATGCATGGGTGCCACTGTCAGGCGGCCGTATCTCTTCCATGTTGCCACCCCAAAGCCCAGCAGGATGACATTACACCCAGACACTGACCTCTTCTCAATGCTGCTGCCCCTCACAGTTATTTAAGAAAGCATTACGCAAGGAAAGACAATCCTCCAAACTTGCAGAAAAATGCACCCGTTGAACTTAGACATGTAGCACATGTTGTCGGACATTGTTAAATGATGTGTTTCAAGTAAGTAAGTCTTAAACCCCCCCAAAATAATAGCTTAAATCATTACAAAGACATTGCATAAACATAAATGGCTGTCCTGCATGGCGTTTTTTCTAACTGTCTGGAAGAAAAAAAAAATGTATTCAGACTAATCTCAAAACTGCCAATTCTCCCCAAAGGAATTTACCAATCTCATCCTCATTTCACTGTGTCAGGCATTTTATACTTTCAAGCACTTCCCTTAGCTCCCACAGGCCTTTCCCTTTGTCTGATGGTTTGGTTGCTCATTAGTTCATTCATTTTGTTTTTTATTTGTTTGCTTTGGAATATTAGAACAGGGAAACTATGCTGACTGCAATAATTTACTGGATGTATTGTTGCCTGCTAGCCTAGATGAATCAGCTTCAACTGCAATGATGATATTTTCTAAAACACAAAGATAATTTTGTTGTTGTTTAATTCCAAAAAGAGACATCATAGATAACATTTAGCCTCTTACACATCCATGCATAATGGATTATTATTGGAGAAAAAGTTTCTTCTTCTCAGAAACTCCTCCTCTGTGTATGCATGCCCTATATGTACATATATGATTAGAGTTATGATAGTCTTTAATTGTGATTGAAGCAGGTTTCTCTGTGGTGTTGCTGAGTACTGGCCCTCTACTTGTATCTCACACCGTCTGCTTTGAGTTTATGCTCAAGCGCAAAGCCAGGGCACCC